GAGGGGGGTGCTTCCCCAAACGCCATCCGGCCGGCCCCGTCGAGAATCCCCTCCGCCGCGCAGACCCGCCAATTGGTGGTGCATGCGCCTTGAATGGGCCGCTGCGCATTGCGTAGCGGGGAAAGGCCGGGCGCGGCCCTGCACGCGTCGCACCCCTCCCCCGGCCCGCGGCGAAAGAGCAACTCGGCCTCGGGCGTGTGGAGAGAGAGAAGCCCTGGAGGAGGGCGCGGGGGCGATCTTACTGCCCCGGTTCTCGGAGCGGGCGAACAGGCACGGGCTGCCCACGCATCGAAACCGACCATGCTTGCGTCCTCGCAGGGAGAGGGGAGGGCGAGAAAAAAAATTGAGCCATTTGTGGGGCTTTGCCAGACCACGCTTGTATGCCGACCTTGTCAAGGGGGATGCCAACCATCTCTCCTTTGGTGCAACACGTCCACCAGTGCGAGGAGATGCTTATAAAGTGCGGGTGCGAATAATACCGGCGGGTGGGATTTCAAACTCCGCCCCTCTGATGGTCACGTTATAAGGATCTCACCCCGATCGCCCGCCCTTCTTCCCCCCCTTCGACACCCTGTTGCCGATGTTGTTGCTGCCGCGGCCCCCGCCGTCCCCCCTCGCGTCTAGTTCGCGACCCGGAACCGGCAGAGGCCGGGCTACGGGCGGCCGTTGGCGGGCGGGCGGGCGGGCGGGCGGGCGGGCGGCGTCTTTGTGCGAACAGCTCCAGGCATCATCCGGCCCCGGGGCCTGGGATCCCGATCTTTGCCCACCATTCCCCCATTTGAGGCCTGCTCGATCGGCACAACGGCTAACTGGAACAAGGCGGGAGGCGGGCGGGAGAGAGAGAGAGCGGGGCAGTGAGAGAGCCCAGCCCGGCCGACCTGCCTGTATATTCGCCAGGGCCGAGCAACTGGCAGAGGCCCTGGAATGGCGTCCATCCCACGGAGAGAGGCAAGGGTAGCTTGCCCTGGGAGGAAGAAAAGCCGGCCGAGCCCGGTCCAGCCGCCGATTGGGGGAGAGCAACAGTTGTGTCGCTTCTTCCGTAGCCCCCTCTGCTCACCTCCCCCCTCCCCCTTGCTTCGCTCTCTCAATCCTGGTCCCAGCGTTACTCCTGCAGCCATCATGGTCAGTGCCCTCGCCCCTCATTCACCCCCTCCCCCCCCCACCGTCCAGCTCACTGACTCGCCGTTCCATGTCTCCCTCGCCCCGCTCTCCATTCTGTCTCGGTGTCCGTTTCTTTGTTGCTCCTTCTTTTCCCCCTTTCTCCATGACCCCCCCCCCCC